CTTTTGCAAAATAATTAAGGAAATGTTGACGTCAAAAGCAGAGAAAACAATACACAAGCCACAATCTTGTGGGTGTTATATATTTATGGACGATCTAGTATATATGTGTTTGTACACTGGGCATGTGGGCAATGAATGTACAGTCAGCCTTTCACATTCACTTGGGTCAGGGGCATAGGAGCCCCCCCCCCCCAAGCAAAAAAAATGAATGAACTGGAAACTAGGGAAAAAACTGAGGGAATACCTCTCTAAGAACCTTTAGGTCCTTCAGTGAGATTCTAAGGTCAACTTCTAAGTCCTCCAGGCTGACTCTATGGGAGGTGATCAAGAATCATAGCATCATAGAGTTGGAAGAGACCTCATGGGCTATCCAGTCCAACTCCCTGCCAAGAAGCAGGAATATTACATTCAAAGCACCCCTGACAGATGGCCATCCAGCCTCTGTTTAAATGCTTCCAAAGAAGGAGCCTCCAGTACACTCCGGGTCAGAGAGTTCCACTGCTGAACGGCTCTCACAGTCAGGAAGTTCTTCCTCATGTTCAGATGGAAGTTCAGTTTGAAGCCATTGTTTCATGTCCTAGTCTCCAGGGAAGCTGAAAACAAGCTTGCTCCCTCCTCCCTGTGGCTTCCTCTCACATATTTATACATGGCTATCATATCTCCACTCAGCCTTCTCTTCTTCAGGCTAAACATGCCCAGCTCTTTAAGCCGCTCCTCATAGGGCTTGTTCTCCAGACCCTTGATCATTTTAGTCGCCCTCCTCTGGACACATTCCAGCTTGTCAATATCTCTCTTGAATTGTGGTGCCCAGAATTGGACACAATATTCCAGGTGTGGTCTAACCAAGGCAGAATAGAGGATGGGGAGCATTACTTCCCTAGATCTAGACACTATGCTCTTATTGATGCAGAACAAAATCCCATTGGCTTTTTTTGCTGCCACATCACATTGTTGGCTCATGTTTAACTTGTTATCCACGAGGACTCCAAGATCTTTTTCACACCTATTGCTCTCGAGCCAGGCATTGTCCCCCATGTGAATGTACATTATTGTTGTTTTTAACTGTCTATTTTATGATGTTTTATACTTATCATCAATGTATTTGGATTGTTGTTTGCACAATTTTAATATGTTGTAAGCTGCTTTGGGTCCCATGAGGAAGAAAAGCGGAATATAAATAAAAATTTATTATTATTATTATTATTATTATTATTATTATTATTATTATTATTTTACTGACACAAAAACGCAGTATGTCACAGCAAACGAGATATATATGCTGAACCACGTGTACTGGTTTCTGCCAGAGCCTTTGCAGTTTGATTTTGAGGTCCTGATAACGGCTGAGTTTTTCCTGTTGTTTTTCCTCAATGCGACTGTCACCTGGAATGGCGACATCAATAATCCAAACTTTTTTCTTTTCCACAGTCATGATGTCTGGTGTATTGTGTTCCAAAACTTTGTCCGTCTGGATTTGGAAGTCCCACAGTATTTTTGCGTGTTCATTTTCCACTACCTTTCCAGGTTTATGATCTCACCAATTCTTTACTACTGGCTAGGTGGTATTTGTGACATAAGTTCTAATGATCATTTGGGCCACATAGTTGTGCCTCTGTTTGTAGTCCATCTGTGCGATTTTCTTGCAGCAGCTAAGGATATGATCCATGGTTTCATCAGCTTCCTTACACAATCTGCTTATTATTATTTATTTATTATTATTATTATTGTTTGAAACACTACAAGATGAGTCCACAGCAGACATTCTGCTGGCTGTTATATTGGATCACACATCAGATCCATTATTATTATTATTATTATTATTATTATTATTATTATTATTATACATCGGATCCAATATTATTATTATTTGAAACACAAGATGAGTCCACAGCAGACACTCTGCTGGCTGTTGTATTGGATCACACGTCGGACACTTCCCAAGTGTTTAGGACTGTGTGATGTACCTGCAAATAATGCGTGCAGATCCCAGTAAGGTGGCCTTCTGCAGTTGGTAATTCCGCCAGCGCCGACTGTGTTTAAGTGCAGGCCAAGGTCTTTAGGCACTGAACCCAGTGTGCCAATCACCACTGGGACCACCTTTTACTGGTTTGTGCCAGAGTCTTTGCAGTTTGAATTTTAAATCCTCATATTGTGTCAGCTTTTCCAGTTGTTTCTCTGCAATCCTGCTGTCACCTGGGATTGCGACATTGACAATCCATACTTTGTCTACAAACAACACCGACTCTTTGGATTAGACATGGAGATGAGCACCACCCCCCAGAGCTGGACATGACTAGACTTAACGTCTGGGGAAACTCTTTACCTTTACCTTTAAGCAAGTAAAGAGCATATCTGATGGGCCTCCCCCAAAGCTGACTTATGAACAACCCAACAGTCCTTCCCTTTCACCTACAATCCTTTTGCCGTAATAATAAGGGAACGGCCACAAGACATTTCTTCATAATTGCACTTGCCTGTTATAAAATCCAAAAATCCTTCAGTCAGATGTTGCTGCAGTCACAAAATCATTTGTAAGGGGATGCAATAAGACCTACCTTTAACAAGTCAAAAGAGACAATGCGTGTGAAGTGCCCTGAATGTTCTAAAGCAGGGGTCCTCAAACTAAGGCCCAGGGGTCGGATATGGCCCTCCAAGGTCATTTACCCGGCCCTTGCTCAGGGTCAACCTGAGTCTGAAACGACTTGAAAGCACAAAACAACAACAAGCCTATCTCACCAGCCAAAAGAAGGTCCACACTTCCCATTGAAATACCAATAAGTTTATATTTGTTAATATTGTTCTTCATTTAAATTATTGTAGTGTTTTAAAGTGTTTTTGAACTACAAATAAGATATGTGCAGTGTGCATAGGAATTCATTCATGTTTTTTTTAATTATAATCCAGCCCTCCAACAGTTTGAGGGACTGTGACCTGGCCCTCCGTTTAAAAAGTTTGTGGACCCCTGTTCTAAAGCATTTTATACATGTGCTCACTATAAATTGATTAAAATCATTTGAACGTGCTCAGCATTGTGGATAAACATGCCATCTTAATGGTCACTTTCTTCTAACCCAGTGGTTCTCAACCTGTGGGTCTTCAGATGTTTTGGCCTTCAACTCCCAGAAATCTTGGGAGGTCTGATTTGGCCAGTGGTCCACACTCTGGTTGCATCCCGTATAGTCTACTGCAATGAACTCTATGTGGGGTTGCCTTTGAAGACTGCCTGGAAGCTCCAGCTAGTCCAATGCTTGGCAGCCAGGTTGCTCACAGGAGCGAGGTACAAGGAGCGTACAACTCCCTTGCTACGCCAGCTCCACTGGCTGCCTATTCGCTTCCGAGAGCAATTCAAAGTGCTGGTTTTAATCTATAAAGCCCTAAATGGTTCCGGCCCAGTTTACCTGTCCAAACATATCTCTCTCTACAAACCACCAAGGACCTTAAGATCATCCGGGGAGGCTCTGCTCTTGGTCCCACCGCCATCAGTTACGTTTGGTGGAGAGCGACAGGGCCTTCTCCATGGTGGCCCTTTGCCTGTGGAACGACCTCCCTAATGATGTCAGATCTGTTCCCTCTCTCCTTACCTTCTGGAAGAAACCTAAACCCTGGCTATGGGATCAAGCGTTTGCAGAATAGACCGATTTACTGGTAAAGACAAGATTTGATTTGATCGCAATGGATCAATTTGGGACAACGATTTTAACTTGGCGAACTTTTTAATATATACTAGCCATCCCCTGCCACGCATTGCTGTGGCCCACATGGGGGTTCTGTGTGGGAGGTTTGGCCCAATTCTATCGTTGGTGGGGTTCAGAATGCTCTGTGATTGTAGGTGAACTATAAATCCCAGCAACTACAACTCCCAAATGACAAAATCATTTTTTTTTGAGTGAAGGACATACATTGGGTTGTTAGGTGTATTGTGTCCAAATTTGGTGTCAAGTCGTCCAGTGGTTTTTGAGTTCTCTTAATCCCACAAACAAACATTACATTTTTATTTATATAGATTTATAATTGTTTAATGTATTTAACTGTATTTTTTGCTATGTTTTATTGTGTCGGCCTGTGCTGCCGTTGAGCTGTGCTACTCTGCTGTTGAGTATGCATGCCCAGTGTGGAACACATCTCACCACACTAAAACAGTGGATGTGGCTCTTAATGAGACATGCCGCACTATCACAGGGTGTCTGCGCTCTACACCACTGGAGAAATTACACTGCTTAGCTGATATTGCACCACCTGACATCCGCCGGGAAGTAGCAGCCAATAGCGAAAGGACCAAGGCAGTGACATCTCCAGCTCATCCCCTGTTTGGGTATCAGCCAGCATGTCGATGACTTAAATCTAGACATAGTTTTCTAAGATCTACAGAGACACTCGCTGGAACACCTCAGCAAGTGAGAGTCCAAAAGTGGCAGGCTCAAACCCAGCACCTCAACCAATGGCTGATACCAAATGAAAGACTCCCTCCTGGGCACACAGAAGACTGGGTGACTTGGAAGGTGCTGAACAGACTGCGCTCTGGCATCATGACATGCAGAGCCAACCTTAGGAAATGGGGCTACAAAGTGGAATCCACGACATGCGAGTGCGGAGAAGAGCAAACCACAGACCACCTGCTGCAATGCAACCTGAGCCTTACTACATGCACAATGGAGGACCTTCTTGCGGCAACACCAGAGGAACTCCAAGTGGCCAGATACTGGTCAAAGGACATTTAACCAACTACCAAACTCACAAGTTTTGTATTTGTTTGTTTGCTTTGTTCTGTTAGAAATGTAATATAATGGACTGGTTGCTCTGACACGACAAACAAAATTGTGTCGACCTGTGGGAAGCCGTCCTGAGTCCCTCTTTGGAGGTTGAGAAGGACGGGATAGAAATGTTCTAAATAAATAAAATAAATAAATCCTAACAGGTGGTAAACTGGTTGGGATTTCTGGGAGTTGGAGGCCAAAACACCTGGGGAACCACAGGTTGAGCACCATGGTTCTACGCCTTACCTGCTTGCCAGATGGATGTGCCTCCTTCTTCCTGCTGGCCCTTCCTTCCCCGAACAAGCCCCAAAGCATCCTCCATGAACTGTATTTTCTTGCTGAACTGCATTTCCAAGACGGGGATGGCTTCCGGCATCTTTGCAGACAACAGCCGATAGCTAATGTCCGGCTTCCCGATGAACCTCTGGCGGACGCTGATCTCATACGGCGTGTGGATTTTGACGTCGTCCACGTCCTTCTTGTCAAACCGGTGAAGGAGCTGGGAATGGGAGTCGCTGATCTCGAGTCCGGAAGCCAGGAGGGCGAGTTTGCCTGGTTTGACGTTGGAGTCTGTCCGTTCAGTGATAATAACAGGGATCTGCATGATCACTCCGTCCTTGTTTGGAGAGGCAGGCACTGCTGGGGCTTCCTTCGGTTTGGCCCCTTCCGGCGGCCCCTTCAACAGTTTGTTACCAAAAGGCCACCAAGATGGAGATTCAAGTTCTGATAGCAACCTATCCGGGAGAGATACACAGCGGTTGAATAACAGGCAAAGCATATATTGCCATTCAGCAAATGCTGTCCTTGCAAAGTTTCATTCCCATATTATAGAAACTATAATATTATTTATATAAATAAAAATGTAATGTTCGTTTGTGGGATTAACATAACTCAAAAACCACTGGATGAATTAACACCAAATTTGGACACAAGACACCTAACAACCCAATGTATGCCCTTCACTCAAAACAGTGGATGTGGCTCTTAATGTGAAATGCTGCATTATCACGGAGTGTCTGCACCCTACACCACTGGAGAAACTACACTGTCTAGCCGGTATTGCACCGCCTGACATCCACCGGGAAGTAGCAGCCAATAGTGAAAGGACCAAGGCAGAGACATCTCCAGCTCATCCCTTGTTTGGGTATCAGCCAGCACGTCAACGACTTAAATCAAGAAATAGTTTTCTAAGATCTACAGAGACACTTGCTGGAACACCCCAGTAAGGAAGAGTCCAAAAGTGGCAGGCTCAGACCTAGAACCTCAACCAATGGCTGATACAGAATGAGAGACTCCCCCCTGGGCACACAGAGGACTGGGCGACTTGGAAGGCGCTGAACAGACTGCGCTCTGGCTCCATGAGATGCAGAGCCAACCTTAAGAACTGGGGCTACAAAGTGGAATCCACGACATGCGAGTGTGGAGAAGAGCAAACCACTGACCACCTACTGCAATGCAACCTGAGCCCTGCCACATGCACAATGGAGGACCTTCTTGCAGCAACACCAGAAGCACTCCAAGGGGCCAGATACTAGTCAAAGGACATTTAATCCACTACCAAGCTTGCAAACTTTGTGTTTTGTCTGTTGTTTGTTTTGTTAAAAATGTAATACAACAGTTTGGTTGCTCCTGACACGATAAATAAATAAATAAATAATATCCCCATCTATATTGTTATCATCCTAATATATATTTCATCCCTAATGACTTCAGAACCTTCCTTGTATACAGCTTCCTCTCTTTCTCTCAATTTTTCTTCATCTCAGGAGCTATTCATTCCCTTCGTCACAGTATTCTCAGTGAAATTTTCTTAACTCATTCCATGAACATGGTATAAAAAACTGCTTTTAGCATGGGACGTCAAAACGAACTGCTCAGCTAAACAGAGATGGGGAGGTTTGCTAATAACAACCCTCAGAGGTCTCTGTTATTCTCATTTTACAAAGTGGACCGAAGCTAAGCATTTTTCTTGTTACATCACATCCTAACAAATGTTCCTGCTTGGAAATGAGTGAGTCAGGCAACGGCCCCAAAAGGAAGAGGCCAGCCAAAAAGGAATGAAACTGACCATTTTTTTATCTTCAAGAATTAATTTGTAGGCCCGAGCCAGTCTAAAAATCATAATAAGATTAATCGATCTGACACTTGGAGGCTGTTCAGGAACACAAGGAAACAGAGGGCATTCACACATAAACATATCTGACTTCCGTTTGTCACAAATTTACAGTTAATTTCTTACTTCAAAGGCCAATTAAAAAAGTTCACTGGGGCAAGGAATTTTACAAAACAAGAATCCAGAGGGTCAGGAAGTCAATCCAACCCCTGCTTTGCTGGATGTTGTATACTGTAACAACATTCTTCTCAAATTTCTACAAAACTAATAGAAAAATATTTTTGTCTTGGCATGAACATGTTTATTATTATCGCCTTATCTAACCAGAAATATTTTCCAAGTATTCTGTCCCACTTTCAACTTCTGGAAACACACTCACAGAAGCAAAACATACATATTTTTAAAAATGTCAGTCAATTAGCACTAAACAGAGGTCATGTGCAAACTTAGTGGGGCATCTTCCTTGTGTTGAACAGAAGCTCTCTGAAGCTCTAGGTGCTCTTCCTGCTTATTACAGGGAAAACCAGCTGATCCCTAATCCATCTAAAACACAGACATGTGCTTTTCACCTTAAGAACAGGCAAGCATCCCGAGCTCAAAAACAGGGGAATTCCAGAGAAGAGACAATCAGGGCCAGCTAATCACCTCGCAACAAAGGATTCCCCCAGGCAGGAAGCAGCCAATACTTGAAGTTGCAAGGTTATTCAACACTAATCAAGGTGGCCAATTGCACCCATCACACTTGCTTCAAGTAGACAAGAGTTCTTTCTCCCACCTTGAACATTATTTCACGGATATATAAACCTCACTTGCCTAGTTTCCAACAGACCTCACAATCTCTCAGGATGCCTGCCAAAGATGTGGGCGAAACATCAGGAAATAAGGTTTCTGGAACATGGCCATACAGCCCGGAAAACTCACAGCAACCCAATGATTCCAGGCATGAAAGCCTTCGACAACACATAAACAGTTTCTACTGTTTTTACTGTTTGTGAACCGCTGTGAGTCGCCTTCGGGCTTGAGATACAGCGGTATATAAGCAAAGTAAATAAATAAAGTAAATAAATAAATTCCCATCATTCTACAACCATGCATGTGACCGGGAGTGGCGAGCTGTATTAAAATCACTACTGACCGAAAGGTCATGAGTTCGAAGCCATCCAGGGTAGGAGTAAGCTCCCAACCATTTGCCTAGCTTGCTGTCCTTTGCACCTGTCAAGTAAGAAATTTAGGTACCGCTTATGCGGCAAGGCATAACTAATTTATTAACTAATTTATGACGCTATAAAAATCTACAGCAGCATGCAAAAGAAGGAGGAAGTACTCCATCAGTGTCACAAGTTGATGGTGAAGCGACAGCTCCCCCTGTGGTCGGAACTCAATCATACCCGCATGAAGCTGGAAAGTTAAATAGCCTCTGTATGTCTGTCTATATATGTTGTGAGTCTATGTCATTGAATGTTTGCCATGCATATGTGCATTGTGATCTACCCTGAATCCCCTGTGTGGTGAGAAGGGTGGAATATAAATACTGCAAATAAATAAATAAATGTGAGTCTTTAATTACTAGAGTCTCCCTCAATCTAGTAATCAAATGCTAAACCCCCTCTGAACTGTGGTCATCCCACATCTTCTGGAAACAAAATTCAAATGTTTTTTCTTGTAGCTAACCACTGCTCCCCTGCTCTGCCTCCCTCTCCTTGCAACAATAGGAAGTCTGCCTTGCGTTGCCGTACCTGTCTGCTACGTCCATCTCTGACTCAATCTTGTTCAGTCCCTTCATGATGTTGTCAAACTGTTCTCCCTGGTGCTCCAGCACCTTCGCGGTGTCTTCCAGGCGCTTCTCGGAGCCCCTCAACAAGCCGGTCATCTCCTTCCCCTTGGAGGTCGGAAGGCCCGGGGCCTGAGCTGCAGCCCCAGCCGTGCAGAGGAGCTGCTCCCTCCAGAAGTGTTCGAGGACGTTGAAGACCACGTTCCGGTTGGGCTGGAGGGAACTGAACCAGTGTTTGGTGCCATGCTCCAAAACAGTGAGGGAGCTGAAGATGAAGTGCGAAGACTCCTTCTTGATCTCGCTGATGCCAGAGAGATGGAAGCTTGCCAGGAGCTCTCCCGACTTGTCGGCTGTAAATCTCACTGAAATGGGCGTCAGAGAGAGCTTGCCAGGCGCCCATCGCTTCTCGGAGTTGATGTAATACGAACAGGGCCACGTGTGGATCCGTATGTCCTCATTCATCCCCTCTTGCCTGGCTCCCTCTTCCGCAAGGTCAACCGAACAGTCACAGGCTAAATGAGAAGCAAACAAATGACAAAGTTTATGAGCAATAATAGCGTAAAAACATTCAGAAATCACAGTATCTGCTGCAGCAAGCCCTCCAATGTCTTGCTGTGAAAGATAATTCTATAAGAGGGGTTCAGGAAGGAGAGAGTTTTTCTATTATTTTATTTATTTACAGTATTTGTATACCGCTTTACTCACCCCGAGGGGGACTCAAAGCGGTTTGTTTGTATCCCGCCTTTCTCTACCCCAAAGGGGACTCAAGGCAGCTTTACATATGGCAACTATTTACATATGGCAACAGTTAAAATACATTAAGTCAAACATTTAAAATTAAATGCACACTGAAAACACATAAACATTATAATCACGTTTCAAAATCACGCCAATCACAATAGTAATCTGGAGTCCTTCCAAAAGTCATTGCACATACCTCGGTAGCTATTATTGAACTATAGTTAATCTCTAAAGGCTTGACCCCAGAGTCAAATTTTCACTTTCCTTCTGAAGGCCAGGAGGAATGGAACTGCTCTAATAACATAGAATCATAGAATCATAGAGTTGGATGAGACTTCATGGGCCATCCAGTCCAACCCCATTCTGCCAAGAAGCAGGAATATTGCATTCAAATCACCCCTGACAGATGGCCATCCAGCCTCTGTTTAAAAGCTTCCAAAGAAGGAGCCTCCACCACACTCCGGGGCAGAGAGTTCCAGTGCTTAACAGCTCTCACAGTCAGGAAGTTCTTCCTCATGTTCAGATGGAATCTCCTTTCTTGTAGTTTGAAGCCATTGTTCCGTGTCCTAGTCTCCAGGGAAGCAGAAAACAAGCTTGCTCCCTCCTCCCTGTGGCTTCCTCTCACATATTTATACATGGCTATCATATCTCCTCTCATCCTTCTCTTATTCAGGCTAAACATGCCCAGCTCCTTAAGCCGCTCCTCATAGGGCTTGTTCTCCAGACCCTTGATCATTTTAGTCGCCCTCCTCTGGACACATTCCAGCTTGTCAATATCTCTCTTGAATTGTGGTGCCCAGAATTGGACACAATATTCCAGGTGGTCTAACCAAAGCAGAATAGAGGGGTAGCATTACTTCCCTAGATCTAGACACTAGGCTCCTATTTAATAATCTAGAGCTCATGTGGTAGCAGTAGTCTTTCGTGGGTCGTCAGCCTCTCCCCTCCCAACATCCCCATTGCCTTGGGACTATAAGAGGGTTTCGCGAGACCAGTCACTCTCGTTGCCGTGTGGTTTCGAGGCAACGGTGTAGTAATGGTGAAGCCACCAACCATATTTTTGTTGTTGCGGACCACTGGTGGTCCACAGACCACAGGTTGGGAACCACTGATCAAATGTGACATGCATTCTCCCAGAAATTAGGACAATTCAATCATGAACTGGACAGAGACTCATGTTTTGGTTGGCAAACCTGGTGTTACAAGCAGGAAAAATGACCTTATTCTAAATGGTGCTGTGGGCAATTGCTCTCCGAGGCTACAGGTAGAGTGTCCTTTGTAGCCAAGCTAGAAGAAAATGTTTTAATTGCGAGCAAAAAACGTAAACATCCTAAAGGAACCAGGCCCTGTCTGATCTTGGAAGTTAAGTAGGGACTGCCTGATGGATGGAAGACTGCCAACAAATACCAGGTGCTGTAGGCTATATTTCAGAGGAAGGAACTGGCAAAACTATCTTGACGTATTCCTTGCCTAAGAAAACCCTATGAAATCCATGGGGTCACCATGAGTCAACAGGCAACTTGAATGCTGGAAAGTGAACCAGGAACCTTACATAAGAAATAGACCTCACTTTATAAACAACCATGCAAAAATAGTTAACTGTGGCCTAAATCCAACTGTGAGTCCCATCTAGTAGGCAGTGGTTCTCAACCTTCCTAATGCTGCAACCCCTTAATACAGTTCCTCGTGTTGTGGTGACCCCCAACCAGGAAATTATTTTCATGACAACTTCACAACTGTAATTTTGCTACTGTTATAAAGCATAATGTAAATATCTGATATGCAGGATGTATTTTCATTCACTGGACCAAATTTGGCACAAATACCCAATACACCCAAATTTGAACACTGGTGGCGTTGGGTGGGGGATTGATTTTGTCATTTGGGAGTTGTAGTTGCTGGGATTTATAGTTCACCTACAAGCAAAGAGCATTCCAAACTCCACCAATGATGGAACTGAAAATACTGGAAGGGTTTGATGGGCATTGACCTTGAGTTTTGGAGTTGTAGTTCACCTACATTCCGAGAGTACTGTGGACTCAAACAATAATGGATCTGGACCAAATTTGGCATGACAATCAATATGCCCAAATGTGAAGTCTGCTGGAGTTTGGGGGGAAAAGACCTTGACATTGGGAGATGTAGTTACTGGGATTTATAGTTCACCTGCAATCAAAGAGCATTCTGAACCCCACCAAGGTTAGAATTGGGCCAAACTTCCCACACAGAACCCCCATGACCAACAGAAAATACCGTGTCTTTGGCGACCCCTCTGACACCCCCTCGCAACCCCTCCAGGGGTCCCGACCCCCAAGTTGAGAAACGCTGTAGTAGAGACTTCATGGAAGTTATATAAAGTGTTGGTTTCTTTGTCATTCAGTGTGCCAATGGGTCTCTTTAGCTGGAAGTAACAATTGCATTTAGTCCTCGAAATCCAAGACATAGAGAACAGAATGAACTGCCACTTCCCTGGGTTTCCTTCTTCCTCCTCAAAGATATTGGATATTACATGGTCTTGAACGAACGAGTAGCAATACACAACAAGAAATCATAATCTAAAGTGGGCTCCAGAAGGTGATTTTTGTAAAAGAGCAGAAGACGGAGAAGATACATGCGAGGAGCATAAAGACACACAGAAAAAAAGGAGGGAGACAAAGAATTAAAATAGAAATCATCAATCTATATAAATAAAAATGTAATGTTCATTTGTGGGATTAACAGAACTCAAAAACAACTGGACGAATTGACACCAAATTTGGGCACAAGACATTTAACAACCCAATGTATGTTCTTCACTCAAAAAATTGTTTTTGTCGTTTGGGAGTTGTAGTTGCTGGGATTTATAGTTCACCCACAATCAAAGAGCATTCTGAACCCCACCAACTATGGAATTGAACCAAACTTGGCACACAGTTCTCCAATGACCAACAGAAAATACTGGAAGGGTTTGGTGGGCAGTGTCCTTTGGTTTTGGAGTTGTAGTTCACCTACATCCAGAGATCACTGTGGACTCAAACAATAATGGATCTGGACCAAACTCTACATGAATACTCAATATGCCCAAATGTGAACACTGATGGAGTTTGGGGAAAATAGAATCTTGACATTCGGGAGTTGTAGTTGCTGGGATTTATAGTTCACCTACAATCACAGAGCATTCTGAACCCCACCAACGATAGAATTGGGCCAAACCTCCCACACAGAACCCCCATGTGGGCCATAGCAACACGTGGCAGGGGATGGCTAGTATACTAATATCACTGACGATAAATTACATGTGACTCCCATGTTACAGATAAAAGCTAAAATGGCCCAGGGTTGAGAAACTTTGATAGCTGCTCTATAACACAGGGAAGAGATAAGGAATATAACTTTCAACTGTGAGGGAAAACTACCCTAAAATATAGCAGAGCATTCAAAAACAAACAGGATACAAAAAACCCCCGGTGGGTTGAGAAATATGTGAAATAAATAAATAAATAAATATTACTTTAACTATTTATTATTACATTTATTATTTTACTTGATTATTATTACTATTATTATTACAATTATTATTTGCATTATTATTATTACATTTACTATTTTACTCTATGCCACCCTTGGCTTATACTTGAGTCAATACGTTATCCCAGGTTGTTTTTTTTGTGGAAAATTTAGGTGCCTCGGCTTATATTCGGGTCAGCTTATACTCGAGTATATACGGGACATAACATCAATCCATTTAGAACAACATAAAAACAATATACAAAACAAGCATCAAAAGTTATCAACTTAAATAACACAGATCGATTCCAGATCTACCAGGCGCAACACTCTATTGACCACAGGCACCAACTAGATGCATCTGGAATGCAAATAAACACGGCATGAAGGAAATCACCCCCAAAGTAATTTCTCCTCTAAAGCAGTGCTATTTGAAGGGTGACTGGTGCCAATTGGTAAGGAAATGAGCTGTTGCGTTTTCAGGAAGGAAAGAAAGCAATTATCACCCATGGGCACAGGAAGGCAAGAATGCCTTGTTAGTCTCCAGCATCAGACATTTATGAAACACTGCTTTAGTCTCTTGCATTCAGCAGCAATGCGCCTCTAAATCAGGAGGTTCTTTTCCCCCAACCGTAGCTGTTCAACACCATTAGTTTCGTCATCATGGATTTGTCTCATTGCCAATAGTAATAATAATAATAATAATAATAATAATAATAATAATAATAATAATAATAGGGTTGTTGTAGGTTTTTTCCGGGCTATATGGCCATGGTCTAGAGGCATTCTCTCCTGACGTTTCGCCTGCATCTATGGCAAGCATCCTCAGAGGTAGTGAGGTCTGTTGGAACTAGGAAAAAGGGTTTATATATCTGTGGAATGACCAGGATGCGACAAAGGACTCTTGTCTGCTGGAGCCAGGTGTGAATGTTTCAACTGATCACCTTGATTAGCATTTGATTGCCTGGCAGTGCCTAGAGCAAACTTTTGTTGAGAGGTGATTAGATGTCCTTGTTTGTTTCCTCTCTGTTTGTTGTGCTGTTCTAATTTTAGAGTTTTTTTAATACTGGTAGCCTCCTTTCATGGTTTCCTCCTTTCTGTTGAAATTGTCCACATGTTTGCGGATTTCAATGGCTTCTCTGTGTAGTCTGACATGGTGGTTGTGAGAGTGGTCCAGCATTTCTGTGTTCTCAAATAATCTGCTGTGTCCAGGTTGGTTCATCAGGTGCTCTGCTATGGCTGACTTCTCTGGGTGAAGGAGTCTGCAGTGCCTTTCATGTTCCTT